AAGTTTCTTGACAAAGGAGTGTATTGTGATCCCATTGATAGAAAGTTCTTTTATTAGATCTGGTTTTCTTTTTAAGGCATCTACTAGTACTTATTGATCCCCCATCCATTGCTTTAAGTTGGGCCATTAGAAATATGTCTTGTTCAAACTTGGAAAGAGCTTGAAAGGATTCCCTTAATTCTGCAAATTGTTCCTTGGGAATTCTTGAAGAACAACCACAACTACATCCTTTTTCTAAAAAATCAATTGCTTTTTGATATTCATTAGAACCATTGTATTTGTTATCTTTGTTAATACTTTTCATATACACTTATCCCTATATATATAATTTTATGTTTACTTTGTAGTTTTATTTTAATTGATCTGTAAAAAATACTGTTATCTTGGAAAGGCAAAAGGACAATTAATAATGAAAAAAATAATTATTGTGATAAGTTAGAACATTCAACATATATGATTAACAAACCAAATAAATCAGTTCGGAATATTGATTAAAATCTTTTATTTGATCATTTAATTAAAAAAAAAAGTATAAAACCTAACATTTAATGATATTAGCTGAAATTTCTATTTTGTAATTTGATTATAACTTTACAATATACTATTATTAAATAAAGTAAAATTATATTTAATAAGTTTACTATTTTATATTTGCTCAGGAAAAATTATATTTTTCAACTTTTCAAGCCATTTATTGTCATGTTCTTTGTCAAGTGTCATGCCATCCTCGGCACCAACTGGCCATGTAATGTTTTCATAATTCATGAAGTGTGGATATTGGTCAGTACCAGAAACTCCAGGCCAATCAAAATTTATAAGTAATGCATGCTTTTTCACATTTTTTGTGTATACTAAAATATTATTAGGACGTAGATCCCCAAATACAATATTATTGTCGTGAAGTGTTTTCACAGCAGATTGTATTTCATCCCAAATTGTATTACATTCCTTCTCTGATAAGGAACGAATAGCTGATTGCAACCGCTCTGTTCCTTCAAGAAATTCCATAACAACTATTGTCCATCCATAAATTATGTCCTTATCAATACTAAATAACTTTGGTGCTAGGCCTTTACTAGAACACAGATTGTGTGCAGTTTCATTATATTTATCAGTAATTTTTACTACAAGCTTCTGAGTTCCATCTTTAATTTTTGCAAGACATATTGACTCATTTAACCATTTTTCATATTTAATTTCAAAATTTTCATTATTTCCCAAAAAACTATATGGATATGGGAAAAAATTTTGGTGTGATTGAGAACTTATTAATGAAGAACTGGATTGATAAAAATTTTCCAACTCTGGTATGGCAAGTTTAAGTGACTGGAAGAGTCTGCTAATGCGTTCAAGGTGTTTACAATCAATTGTTGGCCAAAGTGGAATTATGTCAGTAAGTGGATCCACAGTAACATGATCTGTAAAAACTGCTGCTGAAATCCATATCCAAGGTCCAGCCAAATTTAAAACAAATGATGGACAATTGCAATTTTTAATGAAAGTTTTATACTGCGGATAATTGAAAAAATATGGTTACAAATAAATACTCATATATTTTCAAATACTAGTTAACTACACATATATTTACCTTATTTTGTGCCCAGAATTTAAAATATGAGAAGGATGCCTGCAAAAAAGGATCACTATGTCCTAAACCTATCTCATTTTTCATTTCACGAATTGCAACTAGGTAATTATTATTTTGCAGCAAGCAACCATCATTTGAAGATCCATCTGAAAGTCTAATTTCATTAAAATGTAACTCAAGAACTTCACTTAGAAATGAATCCAAATCCTTTTTTCGATCATTTTCATCCTTATATGTCATAGCCATTTTTTTCACAAATCCTAGCACCTGTTGATTGAGTTTCTTGGATAATGGAAGGTTTTCATTGTTAAAATCAGCTTTAAATTTGCTAAATGCTCTGTTAAACCAAATAACTGGTCGACCAACATTATCTGGGGGTCGGTGACAATAAATTTGAGCAATTTGTTGATCTTTCTCAAAGTTTTCTAATCTTGCAGCTTTTGATGGAGAATTTACAGATGCAACATCGTTAATTATGTCCAATTGAATCTTGAGTAAATCAGAAGGATCTGGATTAGAAAATGAATAAAACCATTAGTCTACTTATTTATTAAAAAACATATAATGATGCCACAACAATTGTGCACATTGTAACTTTTCACAACAGATTGTAAATAAATAATTTACTTTGAATCTCTCCATATTTCCTTTTTCTGTCCAAATCCCCACCTAGACACATTTGATGATTATAAATCGATAAGATTGAAATAATTTGACAATGACAAATATGATCCAAAATAAACAAGTATGTAAAAAAAATGTTAGTCCACATTCCTTAAATGTAAATATTCATTGCAAAAATTAATCTTACCTAAATCTTGATTATTGTAATAAAAGAAAAATAAAAAAAAATTCATTCAGAGAACAATGTGAATGGACAAATGGATAAATAAAATTGTTTATTTAGTTAAGAAATTGGGAAAAAAAGAAACAAAGAAGTGCAAGTTAGTCAACATGTAAATAAATAAATAAACAAAATGAATGAATGAAAAATAATTTTTTGTATATTGGTGGTTTGGCATTTTTTATAATAACTAGAATATTTATTAGCCTTCAATAACCCAACATTTACATTCGAGATCTTTACCTTTCTCAAAATTCCTTAATTTTTTCTTCAAATTTAATACTTCTAATTCCAACTTTTGGGCTTTCTTTTTCCAATCTTTTTCATCGTTATTTTCCTTATTTTCGCTAATAAAAAAAAAGTTTATAGTTAACTAGAGTGACGATGAGTGGCGGGCGATAACCACCACCACCATCCTTAAAACACTTACTCGGCAACTTCACCAGAGGTATTAATTTTTGTTCTTTTTATTCGATCTTGTTTGGAGTTGTTCATTTTTGAGAAAATAAGATAAGTTTTGTGATACAATCGACGCGTAGCACAATTATTTATCTATTGGTTTTTTTTTTTGGTAGGACAGACGCGAATTGATTTTTTTTTTTTTTTTTTGGAAAAACAATTTATTTTTTGACAGAGTCCAAGGTGACAAAACGTGAGTGTTGTTGTTTAACTAACCAGAGGTACTATTTTTAATTTGCATTGTCTTTTTTGGTTATTATAAATATTATAATTGAAATCAAAACACGGAGCAGATCTTGCTGGGTAATTACAAGATTTTCATTGATAATGATAATATTTTGCTTTGCATAATCGTAATAATAATACTATTATTAATATATAATTACAAGATGTCAAGGCAATATACCGTTTAAAAAAAAACATTTCAAATATGCAATGTTTGATTATCAGAAATTAGCAGATGTTGAAGCGCGCACGCTACCTTGAACACTTTACAGTCAGTCATTCTCACACGTTCCTTGTGTACATAAAGCTAATCTGACCTGATTGATCGATGATACAATGATGTAACAGAATTCCAAGGGTATTGCGTGGCTTTGGAGTTTACCGAGACATCAATCGTCAATGACACTTTCACTAATCTTCCCAGACCAGAGAAGGCCGTCGGCATGCTAGCCGAAAATTTGCCTGCAACGATCCCACCTCTAGGGCAAGGATGGCTCTGTGACCAAGTCGCAACTCTGCTGATGAATTGTAGTGCCATGTAAATATCCAGATCCATAAAAGCAACAAGAATCTGCAACTTGTTTCAAGCACAGGAGGTTACAATTCAGAGCAGGGTTGGTTGGTCCTGAAATTGCATTTGGGCTCTGATGCTAAGAGGAAAGTTGTAAAATAGTGTTTGTTTTGTATAATCATTTTCCTAAATGCTCAATTTATAATTTTGGATAGAGGACCAGATGGTTTTTGCTCAATAAGTTCTCTGTCCTGTGGGTTAAAATTATCACACGATTATATACATCTTTGTCAGCAATATGGCCAACAAGAAAAAGTCATAAAAATGGTTCGGATTTTGTTTGGTATGTTATAAATTAATCATTTCCCAAATTCCCTGCTTCTCTCTAATTTTTATTTGTCCAACTGAATTTGTTATTTTAGTAAATGGGGGTAGGGTAGTTGGTGAGCAAGCATGCCACTAACCAGACAGTAACCCAGGAGAATAAAGTCAGTGTCTGCAACTGGTTTGAAAATTCTGCAACTTGGGAGGTTGCAACCTGGGTTGTTGCTGTTTTGGATTTTCCCTGAATTCAGAGTTTTGAGTAGAGGGGTATAACACAAAGCAATCATCACCCAAATGCTGATCTGCATCAGTGATCAATGCTCATACAGAAACAACCAGCCTGGTCCTAGAGGAAGATAAGGGAAAGTTTTGTCCAAAGCCTTCCAACTTGTGGGGTGCTTCAACTGTGGAGAAAATTTCATGGTACTGAAGCGTGCAAAAGCACCTGACTGCATGTTTGTAATAGGAAATTTTTATTAAATCTGACACCTGTGTTCAACATCAGATTTATTATTCATGGAATTTATACAATGGAAACTACAATTGATAATCATTTATTATTGTGAACCCCAGAGATCTGGGTAGACAGGCATTATTAAAAGTATCATTTCTGTATGGCTTTGGTATCATTATTACCTGGGCGATGCAATTGTTTGTTATGTCAATGATGACATCAAATGTATTGAGTAATCATAATAATTAATTATCATGAATATTTATGGATGCAAGTCTTCACAGAAGGAAAGGATTAAATAACAAAAAAGTTAGGTTTGTTTTTTATCAACCAAAATACATAATTAATTATATTTAAAAATTTATTATTTTATTCCACTTTTGTAATGTGAAATTGTGTGCGGGCGCGTGTGTTACATAAAAAATGCGCACATTTGTTGATCATCACCAAAAAATTTTTTAATGAAAAAAAATTTTAAAATTTGAATAAAATTTATATTGAATAACTATTTATTCTTACTTTTTTATTTGTCCAATGTTCATATGCTTTTTCAAAATTAAAAT